CCTAAAACAGGGTGACTCAGATCATTTGTCTGGTCTTTCCTTCCTGCCTTTGTGTTGAGGTTTCTCAGCTGTCCAGCAGGGAGCTGACTAAATAGTTTTAACTGATTTATTTTTCAGATGTCGGACTCTTTCAGGTTCACCCAGACCAAAGAATTTTAAGAAGATTCATTTTATCAAGAGCATGAGGCAACACGATACCAGAAGTGGAAGGTACTGCACAAGCAAAGTGCTCAGTTCAGAGGTTTGGGTTTGGGATGACAAGGAAGGTTAGAGTGCAGTTAGCACTATTACACAGCAAAGTTAATTTTTTAGAAGGCACCATGTAATACAGTCAATAAAAACCAATTAAGGTTAAAAATAAAAAATGAAGATGTACACTAGTGTCATCAAGTGAACTACTGATTGATTGAAGTGCTACTCAATGGATTTTTAAGACCTCATCTACTTTACAAAAAGAGTTGTGTAATAGGAAAGTAATTTAAAAAAAAATGTTTACAATAAAGTTAACCAGGCTTTACCATTTTGTTGGACCAAGCAAAATTTGGTTAAAACTGTTCCTTAAAACCATTTTCGAGATTAGAACCAGATCTTTGGGTACACCTAAGCACTGAGGACCAAACTGGTCCTCAGTATAAATTAGATGAGCCAGAGGACAGGAGCAGGAGGCATAAAGCCAGCTGCTACAGCAGTTCTATGGAAATGGGGCTGAGGATCTCATCTCAGGTTGCTAGAAACATAGGGCCCCCAGAGACAGAGAGCAAGAGAAAGAGAGATGAAGAGAACTGGTAGTCTAAGAAATGGAGAGTCCTTTGAGGGTAAGGGAGTTGTTTAATTTTCCAGAGGAGGAAAATGGTAGAATTGGAATTCCAGAAATCTGTCCAAAGGGAATCTGTCAAAAGCATGTGAGTAGAGAAAGAGAGCTTTGAGAAGAGGCAGAAAAGGATAGCTCTGTGAAAAGAAGGAAAGGCAGATAAGGGAAGGAAATATAGTGTTATTGCCTGTGTCAAACTAAACAATAAATATGACAAGTTCTCTGTCTATTCTGACGGATGTAGGGCAAGATTGTGCCTCCTGTGCTAGAGAGGTGCAGTGCAGTAGAAGCAGCTGGAGTGGTTGAGTTAAAGGCAACCTGAGAGAATCAGCATTTGCACAGCAAATGCTCTGAACATTTTTAAATGAAACACTTGAGTGAGTGCATCCAGTAGGAGCCCTGGCTGCTACGTTGTAAAGGGGCAGCAGGCACACAACACTCCAGATGCCAGCATGAGTATAGGGAGGGACAGAGCTAAGGCCATGTACCACCATGACTAGTCAGCTTCTCACCCTAAATTCCAGGGATGCCTAGTGTGGGCTGCTGCTTGGTACTCCTGTAGGGATGGTACACAAGAGGATACAGTAACTGTACAGAGATGATCCTGACTTTCACATTACAAAACATGGACCTTTATTCCAATGCCTTTCATCCAGTCCACATGGAAGATGAATTACCTCCTGATAAAACCTATCCCTTAATTAAAAATATAATTTCCATGTGTTTTGCCATACAGATATTCTTCCGACTGTGTGCCTCATGGCTTCACTCAGACTCTCCTTGAAAACCTACAGCTCGATATCTATATGTGCAGGAGGAACTAAGAGACTAAACTTTACCATTTAGTCTGACCTGCATGTGTATGCACAGCTCCCATGATAATCAGTGGGGACTATGCACTCATCCATGGAGTTAGGCCCATAGGATGTAATTTACCAAATGGAGAACTAGACAAATATAAATTCACATTTAACACTGATTAGTGTGATCATTGTCAGCCGGCATCTGATAGCTTTACCCACACTGAGTAATGCATTTCTCTGCAACTAGTCCCCCTGAAATAAGACTACTTGTGATGTAACGTGCTGCTCAACATGAGTAAAGATATGTGCATTTTGCTATGTATGATTATAGTTCCTTTTAAACCAGCTTTTGGTGCAGAGACTATATTGTACAACAACGTTGTTTTTGCAGGCTGATGGTTAGGGTCTGATTTTTCAAAAGCAACCTCCAAATTTGCACCTGTCATTTTAAGCATGAAGTAGAGCACTCCCTCCAGCAAGATGGGTTAAAACTAGAAAAGCACCTTAATACCTGTGGTGTGCATGTAAATGTATTTTGTTTCCCTGTAATGTGCACACAAAAACTTGGTCATAAACACTCGTCTGTGAAAGAGTAGAGGCCAGTGTTCCCTGTAAGCTGTGCCCCAGCACAGCTTCACAGGCGATTAATCAGCCCCACCCAGTCAGAGGCTCAGGGATCTGTGCATAGAGCTGTTTGACTGGGTGGGGCTGATTAATTATCTGTGAAGCTGTGCTACCACACAGCTTACCTTAGAGGGAACACTGGTAGAGGCCCCTTTAAAAAATTTTCCAACAACTGCTAAAAGGGTATGTATAGTATCTATGTAGTATTTTTTCTTAGTTTATACAACAATAATTACATGTCTGATAAGAACACTGAATATCTTACTTGTAAGGAAAACAGTACGTTTTGTTTTTTGCATACTTTCTTATCTTAATTGGCAGATGGAGTCTTGCAGAGTATTTCCATAATCATATTAAAGATCCCTTTATCTAGAATGCACAGACAGTAAACAAAAGATAGATGATTTCTGAAATGTTATACATCATACAGACAAACAATCACAGAGATAAAGGTTAAAAATAAAATGTTGAGTCAACACCTTCAAACTTGGTTGGACATTTAAATCCTCCTTTAGGCATCTAAGGCCAAATCTACCCTAGGGGATAAGTTTGGATTAAGATACACCACTCCAGCTACATTAATTGCATAGCTGGAGTCAATGTGCCTTAATTTGAACTTTGGTGCCGTCCCCCAGTGGTAGGTAGATAGGAGAAACTCTCCTGTCGATTTCCCTTACTCCTTGCAAGGAGTAGGAGTACTAGCACTGACAGGGGCACCCTCAGCGTTAGACCCATTAAATCGAATGCCAGAAGATCAACCTCTGGAGCATCGATCCGTGGGTAAGTATATATTACCTGATTTTCCAAAATGTTGAGCACCTTCAATTCCCATTGCAATTAATGGGAATTTTGAATGCAAAGCACCATTGAAAATCTGGTTGTATTCCGCTGTGTCCCATCATTGTAGACTCTGAGCACTTTAGCCTTTAATGCATATATTCATCTTCACAATACCCCAGCTGTGAGGTGGGATAAGTTTTGTTATTCCTGTTTTACAGAAGGGGAGCTGAGGTACAGAGAGGCTAAGGGCTAGATTCACAAAAGGATTTAGGTGCCTGACTTCCATTTTAGGCATTTAAGTCCAGCATTTAGGCACTATGGGGATCCAATTCAGCTGCCCCCTGTAGGCACCTACATTCCCAAGTTTCCACTGGCAAAATCCTTGTGGTGCCTAAGTCTCCTCCTGTAGGCACATGCACCACTGCTTTAGTTCTGGTGTGGTCAGCTCACTCCTAACCCCTATCTCACCTGGGAGCTCCAAACCAGTAGGTGGAGTCAGAACTCACCTAAGCAGCAAAAAGTCAGCTAAGGAAGGCTGCATTCTCATCAGATATGTACTAGGATACCATGTAGCCCAGTGATTCTGTCACTCATATTGGGAGACCTGTTTTCAGATTTCCACTCTGCCTGATTTGGCACAGGAACTCGAACTCACGTCGCCCATATCCAAAGCGAGAGCCCTAACCTCCAGTTATTGGTTTTTCTGGGGCTGTTCTCTCTCCCCTTCCTCTCCCTCCTTTTGAATCTGTTCTGCTTCATAGCAGTAATGAAAGACTCACTGACGAATGACTGTAGCCCAATGGTTAGGCTACTCCCTGAGATCTGGGAAACCAGCTTGTGTTCCAAATCAGGCAGAACAGGGATTTGAAAAGGGATCTCCCACTTCCCACTGAGGGCCTGCCACTGGGCTAGTGTATGTAATAGTGGGGAACCTCTCTCTATTTTTTCTTGAGGAAGGGCTGGCCTGGCTTAGGCGCCAAACTCTGGGAGAGGGTCACAGCTGTGAATCCTGAAAAAAGTTAGGTGTCTGGGCCCTTTTATGGGCTAGGTCTTAACTGCACTCTTCTGCTCAGCTCTTCCTACTGGCTAGAATTACTGTCACTTTCCAGGTTCAAGCTAGACCAGTGAGGGATCGTGTCTCCATCTGCCCTGTACACCTGAGCACTTCACAATGCTCTGTGACTGTGGTGTTCTTGTCTGGATGCTACCAACAGACACGCATGCACTGAGTATCTTTAAGCAGCTTTGACTCAGCAGTTCTGATTCCAGCAGCCTTCTTGTCATGCCCTACCACACTCCTCTGGCCTCCACCAACTTTGGTTACACCTGGCAAGCTGATCCCAAGAACCCTCCTTAATTTTCCCCAAACCATGTTCTCTGCAATGTCCAGCTCTGCCAGAGAGTGGAGGGGAGGGCGGAAAAGGGGGGGACGGAATGGGAGGCAGGCAGGAGCTGGTGCTTGCAGGAATCCGGTTTTAAAGCCAGCTTCCCTCATGTGTTGGCTCCCACAGAGCCACCTGCCCCCTGCTCTGCTGCCTGTGTATCAGAGGCAGCAGCGCCAGGGAGTTGAGGGGGAGTGGGTGGCCACCAGCCCGTTTGGCCTCCATATATAAACATGTAACTGCTGAAAATTTCAGCAGTTATAGGTTTACAAAAATAAATGTTTAACATCCTTACTCCCTACCAGATACTGCAGTGCCTGGGGAGGCCACCATTCTCACAGTGCCACCTGAAGGCTTTTAAGAACAGGTTAGAGTAGACACCACCTTTTGGCAATAGTCCAGTTGTACTTGGTTGAGCCTCTGCATAGGAGGCAGGACTCGATGACCCCTTGAGGTCCCTTCCAGTCCTACATTTCGGAGGTTCTACGGAAATCTCCCCAGACAGCATAGAGAGTATGCTCAGCTATTGGTGTATTTTTTGATGCAGGGCAACAGAGCCAGAATGGTTACACTTAATTAATAAGGGCTGGAATATTGGACTAAGTGTATATCACATGGCTCAGCTTGTAGAAGACCTCAGAATTTGGTCAGCATAGTAATTTCTCTTGGCAAGAGCTTGAGAGAGAGTGAAACAGATTTTCATTCTTCCTCTTTTAAGTCAGCTGAGTTATTTCCCTTCTTGTCCAGAAATACTGGTGCAAATGTCACATCTCTGAAAATGTTTTATTCTGGAAATAAGATGGTTGCCTC